GGGAGGGCCTTCCTGTATTTCCTTGATCCTCTACCAAACATACTATCTTTATTTAGGTTCTTGTTCCTCCTGATCCAAAGTACATGAGACAAAATCTTGCCTTCCTCACGTCCAAGGAACAATCCAGCTGTACCTCTTCAAAACCAAATTTGTTTGTTCTGGTAGTACAAATTGAAGGATTCAATAGTCTTCACTAACATCATAATTTAAATTCATTTATTTATCTCCATTCTTGTTTATTCATTGTCCAGTTGATGCATATTTATGTTGTTGTTAAGTCACTTCTGACTCAGCAGCACTGTGTACGGTTTCCAAGAAGCAGCTGGTGGTTTGGAACCATCAACTTTGAGTTAGCAGTCCAGTGCTTATTCTATAGTGCCACACCTTGACTCCAAAACAAAAGCAACTGCCATGGAGTGGATATATACTCATAGCAAATCTAAAGGAAAAGACGGCCTCATTTTTGTATTATGGAGAATCTGGTAGGTTTGAAATGCCAAATATGGGGTTATGAGTCTAGTTGTTGTCCTACAATGCCACCAGGGTGCCTTTTGAGTATATTTTGTGAGCAATTGAAAATACCACAGCCAGAGTAATGTGAATCCTATTCCTCAAAGTGACATATTGGCTGTTTAACACATTAAAGAGATCTTTTGCAGCAGATTTGCCCAATTTAATACATCATTATATTTACTGCTGCTTTCCTAAACGTTAATTGTGGATCCAAGTGTAATGAAATCTTTGACAACTTTAATAAATTCTTTATTTATCATGGTGCTATTTAGTGGTCCAGTTGTGAGGATTTTTTTTTTTTTTTTTTTTTTTAATTACCTTGTGTTCCTGGTGTTGTACAAGCTAACGATTTCTTTCTTACAATAAAAAACAGAAACTTTCAGGTTTTTTTATTCTGTTTTCAAATTTTGTATTTCAACTCATCCCTTAAACTGATGAACTGTATGGAGCCAGAAGAATCACATAATTAGAAGATATTATTGAGGTGGACCATTAGTAAAATAAAGTTTAAACCAGTAACATGAAATGAGTAACTCTTTCTCACTTCCTAGGACTAGAAAGTTTTCTGAATTTGGAATTTGGAATGCCAATATCTGTTATTTATTGCTCTTTCTCCACCAACTCCTCCCAAGTATATAATATACTCTTCTCATCATTGTCTTATTTTCTCTATAGTCCATGTGAAAGTACTTGTCCTGTGTTGCTATAAGAGAAATTAGATACATAATATTTTACATTTTAGGATATTAAGTGTTTTAATGAGATTCGACCCAAGTAATTTAATACTCCTCTTCATCCTCAGATAAGCTTTCAAAAGGTATGCACATATAGCAGTTTGTAATAACCCAGTAAGAGGTAATTATCTGGTAGCATAGTGATTACGAGTCGGGTTTCCAACCTCAAGGTCAGCAGTTTGAAACTACCAGCTATTCCACAAGAGAAAGATGAGGCGTTCTGCTCCTGTAAAGATTTACAGCCTCAGAAACCCTGTGCAGGGTCGCTATGAGTTGGAACCAACTCTACAGTACTTAGCAACAACAATATATACATACATACATACATACATACATAAATATTAAATATGAATACAGGTAAAAACCTTCCAAATTCTTTGTTTTTCAAACCACAGAAACTCAAACGTGGTTCAACATTTTCAAATATATTGTAGTCTCTGGTCTTTGTGGAAAGACAGTACAATTTTAACATTTGGAAATGCCTAACGCTAGGCATTTTATACTTTCTCTCTCAGCAAACTTGTGAATTCTTATCTTTCCAATATTAAACTCTATTTATTAGTGTTAGATTATTCTGTGAAAGCAAGAAGAATTTTCTGAGGAGTTATTTCTGTTCCTGCATACCAGGAAGACTGCACTGTAGGAAGGAAGGCAGACTTTAGGAGATCATAGTTGTGTCTGAAACGTGGTTCACATAGCAGAAGAGCATGCAACATGTAGCATGGAGTGTTACAACAGAAACAAGAAATCCGTGAGAACTGCCCCATGGCACACTATCTTCGCCACTTTGGTGTGTCTTTGTGAATAGTAATTTCTGCCATTGTGTCTTATTCCTTGCTTATTTATAGCTTTGTTAGCATTTTGATCAAGAAATTAAGAACTAATTATTATCTCTCCTCTTAACAACAGTGAGCAGGTTCTGTTATTTTGTGGTAGATACAAAGGAATATTGGTCAGAATGACTGCAGTTTATTTAAAGAGCCACAAGATGGTCATGGTCTCTAAAAACAGGAAAAGTTACAATTAAATAACTAGCCTCCAGCACTATCCACAATAAAATAGAATGTAAACAAAACCTCAGTAGTTAAATGATACAATTGTGGATGTAGTTGTTGTTCAGTGCCATCCATTCAGTTCCAACGTGTAGGGACCCTGTGTAGGATTTCCGAGGAGCAGCTGATGGATTTGAACTGCCAACCTTGCAGTTCAAACCGACCTTGCTGTCCAGTGCTTATCCTATAGTCAATATAATTAAGATAAAAATAGTTAGCTTTTATGTGAAAAAATTATGTAAAAGTATATTGAGCATTAAAATGACTCCCTTATTGGGACTAGGAAGAGGACTATTATTATAGAACTATAAAATCACTACATACCATTTATCAAAACCTGTATGTTTGTTCAAAATAATTCATTAAATGAAGGGAAACTTTTGAAAAACGTGTAAATACCATAATCAAGATTTGCGATGTAAACGGTTTAGCTAATGAGTATCAAAGCCTTCCGTATTTGATAATAGTCTTTAGAAAATGTAACTTGTGAATATAGTTTGCACTCTCCCGTTTTAAAGAAGCCAACATGCTCTCTGAAATACCAAACAAATTTTTCATCTTGAAAATGCTACATGGTAGATTAATGAAGTGGGTAGCCTTCATGTGACCTTTATTTCAAAGAAGGCTTAGTGAGGGTTTTCTTTTAATACTGTATCAGTATAAACCTTTGTTGTTATTAGTGCCTTCGGGGTGGTTCCAACTCGTAGTGACGCTGAATAGGGTTTCTGAGGCTGTAAATCTTCAGGGGAACAGAAAGCCTCATCTTTCTCTCTCAGAGCAGCTGATGGGCTCAGACAACTGACCTTGTAGTTCAAAATCCAGTGCTTATTCTACAGAGCCATCCCACTTCTATGAATATAAATGTTGTTGTTAAGTGCCATAGAGTCAGTTTTGACCCATAGCAACCTCGTATAGGGTTTTCAAGGATCTGCTGATGAGCTTGAACCACCGACCTTGTGTTTCAAACTGACTTTGCAGTCCAACGCATTAGCCTCCAGAACCAGACCAGGAGAGATACAGAATTATTTGTCATATTAAAATGATTTTAAAAAAAACTTTTGTTGACTTATTTCAAACGGAAGAAAACCCAACGCCATATAGGCTGTGACAAAAATACCTGCATATGTTGCCACATCCTTCAGGAACAAACCGATCTGGAATCCCTTTCTTTGGTAATTTAAATACAATAATGTGGTAAATCTGTTCAAGGAGGATATGGTGAAAACCCCTTTGAAACCTTTTTATGAGATATCAAGAAATTGTGATTTTCAGTTATGGAAAAAGTAAATCTGCTTGTTTTATTTATATTTATTACAGCTTTTGTTTGCTATTTTATATTTAAAATATATCATTTCAGAATGATCATATTTACATATGCTATTTCTACTATGGAGTCCTGGTGTGGCACTGCAGGATAATGAACTAGACCACAAGGTCAGCGGTTCAAACCCACCAGCTGCTCTTCGGAAACCATATACAAGGTCCCTTTGAGTCAGAACCAATTTGATGGCACTTAACAACAACAATGTATACTGTTGTTCTAATATGATATATAATATATAAACAGGCATTAATAATACATTTTCTAATGTTATTAAATATAGTATAGTAACATTTATTTCTGTGACTTGTTACTGTATTTTTACATAAAGAAAACTCCATAGTGTCCCCAAGAAGGATCCGTGGTGGTGTAGTGGATTACAAGCTGGGCAGCTAACCACCAGGTCAACAGTTCAGATCTACCAGTTACCTCTCAGAAGAAAGATGAGGCTTTCTGCTCCCATAAGATTTACAGACTCAGAAACCCTGTACAGGGTCAGTATGAGTCGGAACCGACTACATGGCACACAACCACCACCACCACCACTGTCACCCCACAAAAGTTATTTTTGTAAATATGCTATGCTGATTTTTTGACAGCAGCATGTAAAAACAAATTTGGTTTAGTTGTTGTTAAGAGCCATCGAGTTGGTTTTGACTCCTAGCAACCCCATATAGGGTTTCTGAGGAGAGGCTAGTAGGTTTAAACCGCTGGTCTTACTTACACAATCCAGTGTGTACAGGAGAGATGGCACATTCTGATTACAAAAATACTGCCTGAGGGGAGGAAGCAACTGGTGAAGACACATTGAAGGCTGCATGTGTTATTTGCATAAAAATACATTCGTGATCGAAATGAAAGTCATATGTTTAAAAACATGTGCCATCACATCCTAATTATTATATTATTTGAATCAGAATTGTATTTATGTGAAAAACAACTGTTGTTGAGCTCATTGTTATGTGATATTTTGTATATGAGATTATGAGGGTCAATAAACCTATTTAGTAAAGTTCAAATTAATTTGGAAGAGGAATCCTTGAAGACTACTTTAGAAGTAATTGTACCATGCCAGCTTTGGCAGGCTTCGCTTGATCACAAAGAAGAGATGACATCAAGGATATTTACCACTTTTAGGTGGGGGAGGGGATCAAATTTTACCTTATTTATTAAGATTCAGTACTGTTAATGAGAGAAAACAGCACAGAAAAGATGCTATGTTCTAGATATTTGCTTCTAGTAGAAATGATTCACTCATTCAGCAAATATTTATTGTTATTGTTAATTGTCACCAAGTCGGTTCCAACTCTTAGTGGTCCTGTATAGGATTTCCAAGGAGCCGCTAGTGGGTTTGAACCGCCGACCTTGCAGTTTGAACTCCATTGCTTATCCTACAGTGCTGCCACACAGATATCCTATGTAAATAGGGAACTCTCTGGCTCTGTAAACACTGGACTGCAAACCACAAGGTCGGCAGTTCAAGCCCAACAGCTGCTCGGTGGGATAAAGATTTTTTCCTCCAACAAAGTTTTCTGCTCCAACAAAGATATATAGCCTTAGAAACCCTATATATAGGGTTGCTATGAATCAGAATTGACTCAATGACACTTAACAACAACAACAACATATATGAATAATAGACGTCCTAGTGCGTAGTGGTTAGGAATCAGACTGCGAACCTTAGGGTCAGCAGTTCGAAACTACCAGCTGTTCCACAGGAGAAAGATGAGGCTTTCTGCTCCCGTAAAGATTCACAGCCTCGGAAACCCACACAGGGTCGCTATGAGTCGGAATCAACTCCACAAAACATAACAACAACAACTGCACTGGCACAGTAGTTAAAACATCAGGCAGCTTCTTGAGCAGTTGGAAGTCACTAGTGAATCCATAGGAGACCAAGGTGGCAGTCACTTCTGAGCAGTTTTACCCTGCCCTATAGGGTCACCTGGAGTCAGAATTGACTTGACAGCAAGGGATTTGGGTTATATATTTAAAGCTCTCCACTGAGGACAAGCCTTGGAAACCCTTGTCAGAACTGACTCAATGGTACTTAAACAACAACAACAACAACTGAGTACAAAGAGCACAGAAATATCCCTCAGAGATAGGGCTTAGCGTTTCGATATTCATTCCTATGGGAAAGACCAGATGGATAATCTTAAAATGTAAGTTATTAACTGGTTGACATTACAAAAGTATGAAGTACTATAGGAATTTGAAGACCTTACAACAGGGAAGATTATTAAATATTTCATTGATAAAATATCATTTTAGATGTACCTCTAAAGAATTACATATACAATAAAATATTTATATTAGAAATTAAATACTGTGAAGAGTTAGAAGTGCATTTTTAATGAAAATAATTAAAATTTTAATTATAAAAAAGAATTACCCCACTATTTAAAGACCTCAGTATAATATATAGTAAGAAGCCTTTGTAGTGCTTGTGGGGTAAGTTTTGGACTGTTAACTGCAAGAGTGATGGCTGAGACCTACGAGTGCTCGATGAGAGTAAGATGAGGCATTCTGATCCATAAAGATTTACCGTTGTGAAATTCTATACAGGCAGTGGATTTATAATAGAGTGGGATGGATATATAATTTTAAACTTTGTTTTGTAGTAGGCTAACTGTAGCAAAACTGAATTTGCTGTTGTGGAACGAACACAAAATTAAATTTTCCTTTGATGAACCTTTCTAAGTTCACTAATGTCAAGCTTTTATAGTTCCGAATTTATAAACTTTTAGTACTGTACAAAACCAGTAGCCTCTCTCTTTTTATTAGGACCTCCTTACTCCGGTTTAAAGAATTTGTGTTTGTTTGTTTTGTCAAAAATAAAGCTAAATTTAAAATCCCAGATAGGAAGGAATTTCAGCTAATTTTTTGTATTCGTGGGAAGTAAAGAAATAGAAATTTCTTCGGTAGGAAAATTGTTGTTTAGTGCCCTGGAGTTGGTTCGGGCTCATGGCAGGCCTGTGTAGGGTTTCTGAGAAGTGGCTGGTGATGTGAACTTTCAACCTTGCAGTTCAAACTGACCTTGTGGTCCATTGCTTATCCTACCATGCCACACCAGGACTCCAGGTAGGAAAATAGCAGAGCCAAAGTAATCTTTGAAGTACTGAAAAATCATTAGTACCCTCAAGTCAAGGTAATTGTATCAAGACAAGTGTTTCCACTTTTGATCTCTAACAACAAAATTTCCAATCGTATACTAGCAAATTGATGGAATTTTAATCAAATTATAATATTGGACTGAAATGTTATTTCTTATATAATTATCTTTCCAAAGTCTTACTTATTTAAAGTGGAAAATGAGTCCAGATTAGAGTTGATATACATATACACTAGGGATTGGCATATTGTGAAATGATATGATAGTATTGATTGCTGTTCTTACTGTACTATTAAAAGAATGATTAAATGTACATAATAGATGCTTTTGGCCCATAATGTGTGTTTGTTTTAGAGTATGTGAGATGATTGTATTTGTACTTTGTTCCTGTTACAACTCAGTGTTTGTGACTGACTATGTGCTTGTTCCTTCCATTGTCTTCATTTGTGTAGGTTCTTCATCACCACACAATTCAGATGATGAACAAAAAATGAATAATTTTATAGAAAAGGGTATAGTATCTTTATTTTAAAGTATTTTTATTTATGTTTAATTCCTTTAGCTTAATTTGAATAGATTTTGACATTTCATATCAAAATATTATTTTCAGTGAAGACCAAAAGCAGAAAGTTTTCCAAGATGGTAGCCAGTGATATAGGTAGGAAATAGAAATTTCTATTTTGTTTCTAATCCTTGCTATATGCAATGCTAACTCAACACCAACAAAATTTATCTAAGGCATTGCATTTTGTATATATTAATTTGTTATTCCTCATGCTAAACAATAATTAATCTCTTGGGCTATGCCTCTTCTAAACTCATTGGGTCAATAATTATTAAAAATCAGTTTAATTGGGGTTGCAGTTCTTTTTCAAACTTACAGTGTGAATTGTTCTGTTAATTTTTATTTTTGCTTTATTTAAAAATAAAGCAGGGTTCAATTTATACCATAAATAGCACAATGTCATAATTCCTAAGTGAAAGATTTGAAGTGGGTTTTTTCTTCATAGTTTCTTTTCTTTTTCTTTTTCTACCTTTACTTCTCCCTCACATTTTTCAAGCCCCAAATTTTAAACAAATGTTTTTCTCAAAGATTTATTTTGTACTCTGTACTCTGTCTCATCCTTAAGTAAAACGACAATTAACCTAGAACCACTACCCAAAGTAAAAGTGAGTGATGGGAACTGTTTTATACTGTACTTCCAGATTATTTTTTGTGGATATCCTTTAAATGCATTACTTAGTACATGGTTCTCAAAGCATGACTTTAAACTGGTTCTGTCATGGCCAGTGCAGAGAAATTGGAACCGTTCTAAATTTGTAAAATGTGATTTTACCAGACAATAACTGGAACATAAAAATTACTGGTGAAAAGCCTGGAATGGGAGACTTGGAGGAGGTAGAGTCAACCCTTTCAGTAGACTGATGCAGGTGACCAGATGACTGCAAGGACTCTGCACAGTGACTCACACTCAGAGAGATGTACTGGCCACCATCTTGGATGGGCTTGGCTGTTTTCTTCTGGTCAGGAGATTTGGTTGCTATGCAACACGCATGCTGCCCTGTTTTCTAAAAGGGAAATTAAGTGTCTAGCAAGGCATCAACCGGTAATTTAGTTCCTGTTCCAGTTATTGGACCTGTACACACACATTTTACAAATGTATGTCTGTTCTGGTTTCACTTTGTTGCCGTCTGACTTGTAAAGGACTGGTTCAAAGCCCTGTATCGAAGTTTAAAACTCGGGAACAAAATATATTATCAGAATTTTGAAACTAGGCATTTTTTATTACAAAATTTTTAATATTTTCCAAAGTTTTTCAAAGGCTTGAATAGCACTGTTGCAGAAAAAGAGAGGAGATTCAGTCTTGATTTGAATCCAAAATTTTTACTCGGAAGTTATATCAGCTCTTTTGCCTCAGAACTCCTAACACATATTCATTGAACTGAGTTCCCCTTCATTTCTAGGAACTGGAATAACTTTGCTTTTTATCATGATAATGCTTAAGGTATAGTTGAATACAATTACCTAAAATTCTTGGATTTTGTGTCCATGTTTTCGTATGTTGTAAATTGAACCCTGTTTGGTCTTATTAATGGTTTCCATTAGCCCTTCTGTTGGTTTTTTGTTTTTGTTTAATACAATGGCTTATTCTTGGGTAAAGGACTCTTATTTACCTCTTTCTGTTTTTTAGTGAATCAGTTGGTAATAGTTAAATCATTTTAATTAATAATTAATAATGACACTATTATGTAATATTTTTTAACTCATTTTTCTTTGTAATATATTCTGACTAAATAGTACTTTAAAGGTTCTTTTATTGCTACATAATATAAATAGTTAGAAGACATGCTCTTATATGTAGTTTACCACACAATTTTTAGAATTTAAGCGCCTAGGAATTTACTTTTTGCAAAAGGGACTTTGTAAATATTTATCTATTTTTAAAATTAATTTGTCTACTTCTTGATACTGGGCTTATGTCTATTTTGTTCAATGTATTGACTAGCTTCCCTCCCCCCTCCCCCCCACCTTTTTTTTTTTCTGTGCCTTTAATAGAATGAATAGTATGGAATATATGAGCTTGCACAATTTTGAAAGACATCATTAACTAATATTAGGACAGAGATCATTATTTGAAAGATAAATCTTTGCTAATTTTCTTGCTTTATCTTTAAGTTATTGGCCAATTTGTCTTTTAGTGATGTCAGTTTTTCTAATTACAGTTTTTGAGACACATGCTAACTTTACCTTTTAAAAATTATGTTAGTACCTAGTTATGCATAATTATTTTTCATTTTTAAGTGCCATTGTTATATTCCTTATTTTAGATATAATTTTGTTTATATTTTGTTGGATTCTTTCCGTCTGTTTACTAACCCTAAGATTTAGATACGTTTTTCTTTCTCTAAGGCAGATTACCCCATTTTAGACTAAAGCTTTTGCAGTTCAAAATATACACATTAGTTTAGATTCCTACATTAGTATCTGTTTTTTTTTAAATAAGACTTAGCATTAAAAAATTGCTATTAAAATACTCATATCAGTGAAACTTGAGAAGAAAATTTATAGAATCTTCTGAGGACTGATGTAAAGTGCTGGGACTCATTGACATTCTAGCTTCATCTTTTGAACCTCTACTACTTATGAAGTAGCCTCATCTTCATAAAATGATCACATTCGTCCTCTATCTACACGTGTGTCATCTTTAGACAGTTCTATGTGGCTTCTTAAGGCATTTCATTTGTTGTTGTTAAGTGCCCTCAAAGTCTGTTCCAAATCACAGTTACCCCATATAGCATTTCCAAGGCTTTAAGTCTTTGTGGGAGCAGAGCCTCATCTTTCTCCCTTGGAGCATCTGGTGGGCTCAGACCACAGACCTCTCAAATGGAGCCACCGGGCTCCCCTCCTAGAACTTGCAAGGCTGTGAATGGCTTGAAAGAACCCCATCTTGTGAAAAGCTGACTGAATGTTGTGGCTCTGGAATGTGTCACCTGTTTGCGAGGAGTAACTGCTTCTGTGTCAGGAGTAGGGAGGAAGGACCACAAGATGCCATGCCCACTCCTACAGTCAAACACAAACATGGAAAACAACTCATCTTTTCTTACTGCCAAGAAGGACAGCTGAGATGATATATCCATATCTACATATTTTTAATATGCTTACGATTATAATTTTCCTGACACTGTACCAAACCTTTACAAATATTTTTTTTCTCCTTTAATTCATCAGTAAACCTCTGTGATCCAGTTACTATTATTCCCCATTTGATATGTAGGAGAACTGAGTTAAAGTATGGAAATGGCGCTGTGGGCTAATAACGTCAGACTGCTAAGCTGTTTGAACTTCAAGGTCGGTGGTTCAAGCTCACCAGCTGCTCCTTGGAAACCCTATACAGGGTTGCTATGGGTCGGAATTGACCCGACAGCACTTAACAACAACAACAATGTATTGGTTACACAGCTAGCAGCTGACACGTAGGCAGTCTAGCTCCACACGTCACTGTCCAAACACTGCTATTTTACCTAAGAAAAAAATCTGACTGAAGACTACAAGGATTCAAAACAAACCCATTGTGTGAGCTGTAATTAGATAACGTGGTCACGCCTCTCATTTATCCACATAGTAAATTGGAAAAAAAGGTGGTGTAGTTAAGTTCCTTCCATTGTCAGGTAATGTTGGTACCCTTCATCCAGACATAATATACTGTGCCTAGCATCTACTTTCCTCAGAGACCAGAAACAAAGTCTAAAGAGAGTTTTTGGTAGGAGGGTTTAGGGTTGAATGCCCTAACCCACCCATTCAAAACCTAATTTGTTTGTGGGGTTTTTTTTTCCCTCTTAATTGACAACTAAAGTGAATGATGCTGGCAATGACTGCATTTTCTCCATATAGCAAAAAAAAAAAAAAAAGAGAGAGAGAGGAAGAAAAAAGATTTGGAAATGGGTAGTGGTGATGGTTATGTAACATGGGGAATGTAGACGGTGTGGCTGATTGTATATATAAAAATGGTTGAAGTGGCAAATGGTTGGTTATATGTAAATGTATATACATAAATATAAAATATTGTTGTATATCAAAATGCTACAATAAAAAGAAAGAAGGCAGTTGCCATTGCATTGATTCTGACCCACATAGATTCCATCTGTGCAGTGTAAACTACACTCTGGAAGGGTGAAACACCAGGCCTTCCTTTCATGACAATTCTGGGTAGTTTCAAACTGCTAGCTTTTTTGTTTAATTGTCAGCACTTGGCTTTTTGTGCTGCTCGGGAGGTCCGCGGGTGCACTAGCGCCCTTTAAAGGCATAACTTTGACCTGTTGACACAGTAGAATGGGATAAAGTTCAGTCATCCTGGACAGTGAATAAGGAAGACCACAGAAGAATTGATGCTTTTGAGTATGGTGTTGGAGGAGAATGTTGAAAGTGCCATGGACTGCCAAAAGAACCAACAGATCTGTGTTGGAAGAAGTGCAGCCAGAGTGCTCCTTGGAGGCCAGAATGGCCAAACTTCATCTCTCATACTTCGGACATATTCTCAGGAGGGACCAGTCTCTGGAGAAGGATATGTTTGGTAAGGTGGAGGGTCAGAGAAAAAGAGGAAGACCCCAGCGAGATGGATTGGTAAAGTGGCAGCATCAGTTGGCTCAAGCATGTCAACAATTGTAAGGTTGGCCCAGGATCAAGCAATGTTTCGTTCTCTTGTGCATAGGGTTGCTGTAAGTCGGTACCAACTCGATGACACCTAACAACAACTTTTTTGCACTGTTTGAGTTCTTTACAATGAACATGAGTTAATTTTACAAAAATTGTTTTTGAAATATACTTTAAATGTTAGCAATGACATTCCTAGGCCTGATTAACAACTACTGGGTCGGGCTTTCCTATTTACACACTAAACTCCATGTGAAATGAAAGAGAGCTTAGTCTTCATGATTTCAGTGAGAAGCCGGTAAGGATAGATGATTACACCTCAAGTCAGCAGTGCCACTCAGGGTAAATTCTAGCTGGACACTGCCCAGCACTGGTGCCCTGTCAGAAACATTCCAATCAATGTCTCTTCTTTCAAAGGAAAGAAAGAAACCCTACAGACACACCCTAGCAAAAGTTTTCCTTACAAGGAGTTAAAGCCTTTCCTTCCCCCTCCTTTTTCTTTCTTT